GCAGGGAGCTTTCCAGAAAGGCCAGCCCAGGCAGCCGGCCTCGGTCCCCCCCCCCCCCCCCCCCCCCCCCCCCACAGCTGCCCAGGCAAGGAGGGTCCTCTTGATTGCTTTTGGTGGGGCAGGCGGGAGCAGCCCTCCCTCCACATCCCCTGCCAAGGAGGCCTGCCAAAGTTTCTGACTTTTGCTCTCCCCCAGACCTCCTTGGCCCCCTTTCCTTGCCCAGCCAGAGGGAGGGAGGGAGGGAGGGAGGGAGGGAGGGAGGGATCAGAGCTGGAAGGGACCTTGAGGGCCTCTAGTCCAGCCTGCTGCTTGAGCAGGAGACCCTGTAGCAGGATGTCCGTCCTGGGGAGTCCCTGCCTTGTGCACTTCAACTCCCAGAATTCACAAGTTCTCAAGGTTGGATCCCCCCCCCCCCCCCCGCCCCCCTTCCTACCCCATTCCAAACCAAAGTCTGTCCAGTCTCTTCTGGAAAACCTCCCACAACTTCTGGTAGCAACTGGTTCCCCTGGGGAATTGCTCCCGGATTCCATCGCCTGGGCTTCTGTTTCCTCCTCCTCCTTGCCCCCTTGGGGTTTCGGAAGGGGAGCGTGCCAAGATCCCCCCCCGCCCCCGCTTGGCCTTCATGGGGCCGAGGGTCCCATCCTCCGTTGGTGCCCGCGGCTCTCTCAGCCCTCTGAAGTTGTTGGCCTTGGGGCCCCGAGCGGAGCACGAGGCCCATGCTGGCGCGCCTGCCCTGGTCGTGGCCTTTGGGGCAGCCCCTCCGCAAGAGCCTCTCGCAGGCAGTCCTTGACCTACAAGAGTTCAGTTAGCGACCGTTCAAAGTTACAGCATCACTGCAAGAAGAAGGGACATCCGGTATGGCCATTTTCCCCACGGACGGCCGTCGCGGCCTCCCCATGACGCATGTTTGGGGGCTCACCTGATCCCCCTTTTGCGACCTTCAGGCAAGCAAAGTCAACGGGGGAAGCCAGGTTCACTTAACCACTGCAGTCGCAAAATGGGGCAAATTCACCTCAGGAAGGTTTGGACTCCGTTATGGCCATAAGTCGAGGACTCCCTGTGTCCCTGGGGAACAGGCAGTCAGTTGCCCCTCAGGCTCTGGGAAACTGACAGGCGGCTCTGGGTCCCCGGGCTGCCCCCGTGTCCTTGCTGTGTTCCTAGGGCCGATCCGTGTGGGCCATGACCGGAAGCCCCTGGGCCAAAGAGAAGGTTCCCTGGCCGGGGATGGTGGGACTTGGGGTCCTGACCCGCCCCCGCAGGGACCCTTCAGCAGGCAGGATCTGCCTTCAGGTGGGAATCTCCCACCTCTAGAGGGAACCTCTTAGCCCCCCCACCCCCAAACAAGTAGCCACTGTGCTGGGGGCGCTTCCCCCGCCCAAAGCCCAGGGCCAGAGGCCACAAAGGGACGATTGTTCTGACTGGAAACAAGTACCAAGGTCAACCTCGCACCCGGCTCCTTCTGGCTGCCTCTGCCCAGCCTCCCTCCCTGCTGCAGGGAGGGCAGCCTGGCGAGTTCTCCGAGCACTCCCCACCAAGGAAACAAGGCCGCTTCCAAGGGTGGCTCCTGGGCCCCTAAGAGGTCAGCTGGTGGGGCAGGTTGAGTCTTGGGGCAGGCTGTTGCGAATCCAGCAGAAAGGAAAAGGGGCCAAGAGGTCAGGTTTCCCCCTCAAATGTGAATCCTGCAGCAGCAGCCCTGTCTGTAAAGCCCCAGGGGCAGAGTGCACGGAGAACACACACACACACACACACAGCTGGGCCATGGAGAAGGCCCTGTTCCGCCTTTGGCCTTTCTGTTCTCAGCCCTGGAAAATGCCCTCCGCTCTGAGGAAGTTGCCCAGCCAGACTTCTGGCCCTGGGCATGATACGGGCACATTGTGGCACAGCTGGAAAGCTGCAACTGGGCGCTTTCAGCTGGAGAGGCTGTGGCATCGTCTGAGCTCAGTCCCTGCTAAACGCCCTGCCTGCCAGGGTGAGCAGGGGAGCGGAAGGCGGACCGCCTGCCTGGCCCTCCCCTTCCAGCCCTGCGTGGCTGCGCTCCCCGTGCCCGGCCCACGCAGAAAGCTGTGCCCAGAACAGGGAGGGCAGTGGCCGCCCAGAAGGCACCGGCTGACTGCCTGGCACAGTAGGGCACTGCTGGGTACCCCAAAACCGGATCAACTGCGGCTCCCCTTCCCCTTGGATACCCTTCTGAGTGGATTGCAGGAGGGGTGCCTCCCTGAACCCCAACTTGGCCCATCCTGGTTTGGGAGGGAGGGCCCGGGGGGGGGGAGTCTCCCCATCCAGGAGTGGTTGCTTTTCACCCACTTTAGAAAAAGTGCAATTTGGGAGAAGCAGAATTTGTGCCCCCAAAGCTTTGGGTTCAAAACTCTGGAAACTTTTTCATGCTTGATTCAGGAGAACTTTGCTGATTGGGGGGGGGGATCCCTTGCCGTCCCCCAAAACAACCCTGGGAGGGAGGACGGGGCCCGTTCAGGAGGCCCCGGGGAGCCCAGAGAGGCCGGGAGCCCCACCTTGAGCAGGTGGGCCAGGCAGAACGCAAGCATGTTCTCCGGGTGGCAAGTGGGGGGCACAGGTTGGCGAAGGCCTTGCCAGGAGATCTAGGGCTGCCAGCAGGCCCGGCTTGTGCCCCCACCCCTTAGTTTGAGCCCGGGTGGGGGACACAGACCCTGCTTTGGCCCAGGGCCCCTTGCCCTCTCCAGCAACCCTCCTTTTGCCCCACAGCACCAGCGCTGCCCGGTGGTGACCCTCGAGCCTGCCCCCCTGCCAGTGACGCCGCCGCTCTCCCCCCAGCCCTCCACCCTGGCCAGCAGCCGCTCCGAAAAGGGCTCGTCATGGTCCAGCCGCTCGCTGGGCGCCCGGTGCCGCAACTCCATCGCCTCCTGCCCTGATGAGCAGCCCCACATCGGCAACTACCGGCTGCTCAAGACCATCGGCAAGGGCAACTTTGCTAAGGTCAAGCTGGCCCGGCACATCCTGACCGGCAGGGAGGTGAGTCCGGAGGTCTGGGGGAGGGGGCCGTGGATTACGGGGGAGGTGGGGGGTGTCCCTCCCGGAAGAGCTGGGCAGAGGGAAGAGGCAGAGCTGGCAAGGGGAGCGGGAGGGTTGCCGGGCCCAGCACGGGCTGGGTGGCATCCGCTGCTCTCCAGTGCCATGTCCACAGGGGGGGCTCCTTCCCAGGGAGTCAGGGCCCCCGATGGGGGCTTCCTCTGGCTGCCCCTGGGGTTGTTCTGAATGGCCTCTGGTTTCCCCTCGCAAAGGCTGGGCCTGGCCGAGACAGGAAAGCTCTGGGCACAATCCCCAAGCCTGCCCCCCCTCCCCGCCCCGCCCTTTGCCCCATGGAGCCCCCGAGGCTTCCGTCCCCCCCGGCCCCGGGGCCCCCCCCCCCCCCCCCCCCCGCCAGCCCCACTGATTTCCTGCCTTGTATTTTCTCAAGGTGGCCATCAAAATAATCGACAAGACGCAGCTCAATCCAACCAGTCTCCAGAAGGTGAGCGGGTGTTGGGAGGGGCAAGGGGGGGTTTCCGAGCCGCTGCCGCCTGTCCCCCCTTCCAAGGGACTTTGGGGGCGCACGGAGGGAGGAGTGCCATGGCCTCACCTGCTCAGAAAGGTCCCTAAACGGCAGCCCCTTCGCCCCCTGACACCCCCCCTGGCTTGAGCCCTCGGCCTGGGCAGTGCAGGTTGGTGTGTGTGTGTCCCCCCCCCCACTTCCTTCATGGCTCCCTCCATTTCCTGCCAGCAGTGGGGAAGGGGAGACATTGCTCCCCATTGCCCCCCTCCCTAATTACAGCTCAGAGTCTAAGCTGGTCGCTGTGGAAACCCCGGCTCCTGCCGGCATCCTGGTGGGGAGGGGGAGGGGAGGACCTGCTAATTAGTGGCTGGATTCTGCAGGACAAACGAGCTTCAGGGAAGGGGGCGCGAATTGTAAAGGCCGTCTGCCCCCCCTCGTGGTCTCCATCGGTTCAGCCACGGCCTATTTGGATGCCCCAGGTGTTTTGGGGGGAGGGAAGACCCCATATCAGTGGCCAAGGGTGGTCAGTGATGGCCCTGAAGGGAAAGTGGGGTCTATAAGAGGCTGACTGGGAGGGGGGGGAGGACGGGTCCTTCAGTCGCACAGACCCCCCACCCTTGGAAGTCTCCAAAGGGGCCTTCCCGAGGAGGGAACGGAGAGAAGGAAAGGGCAAGCGGACAGCCAGGCACCCAGTATGGTTTTCATTATAATTTAATTATGCAAAAGCTGCTTGGGGAGATCCTCTGGAAAGAGATGATTGTTAATCATGGTTAATCAATTAAAGGCCATTCAGCCCCCAGCACAGCAAGGCAAGGCAGCCGGGGCCAATTCGGACCTGACAATCCAACAACCCATTATCTGCAGATCAAAGCTAAGGGTCCTTCCCAAAGCTGGTTGCTGTGGACGCTCGGAGCGAAGAGCTCCAGCAAGTGAGCCAAACCGCACACACACCCCCACACACACATTAAAGAAGCCTTAACGGGGTGCCTGATCCTGCACTTGCAGCAGCCCAGGGCAAGTCCCCAGAGTCTTTCTAATGTATTGTTATCATTTTATTGCTAACGCACACGGAAAAAGAAAGAGAAGAAAGGCCTATATCAAACACAGTGACTCTAGAAAAAAATCCCTCCTCTTAAACAAGGAATTAAATCTTGGCTCCCTGGAGGAATATCGATCGTTCTTCCCCTGCAGCTAAAAGGGGACATTTCAGAGGCTGAGAGTGAGCATTTGGCCCAGCCGCGATGTCCCTTTTGGCTCCTCCATCCTGAGCCTCTTTCTGCACTCGAGGCTCCCAGAGGGTTTGTCAGACTCCAAACTTTGGGTGCCTTTGGGGAAGACTTCCAGCCTCCTTCCAGGGCCAGATCACACCTGCAGCTAGTCCTTGATTTGCAACGTTCATTTAGTGGCAGTTTGAAATTGCAAAAACACGGGGGGAAACGCGAAAGTCGTACAATAAAGATTTATGGACAGTGGGGGGGAAATGAAGGGAAAAGTCCCTTTTGCCAGCAAAACCGAAGGGAAACTTCCTTGCTTGGGGGGGGGGGACTTTCAAACCGGTCTGCCTTTTGGAGGGGGGGGGGGCGGGTTGCTGGAGAGAAAAATGTTAGGCTGCCGCCTTTGTGGGGGGGTCATCTAACTCCTGTTTGGGACATCTTTGCAGCTCTTCAGAGAAGTCAGGATCATGAAGGGACTGAATCACCCCAATATTGGTAAGAAACAGAAGTCTGGGAGACCCCATGCACGTGCCCCCCCCCCAAGGAAGTCTCGCTCTTCAGCAGCTGGGGGGGGGGGCATCTTTCAATCCAGCAGGCAGCGGGCTCAGAGGGCAGAAGGTTGCAAAAGCTGGCTAGATACAGGGGGGGGGG